GGCACCAGCATCACTAAGAAAGTCCATAATGGCTCCCCTATACAGGCCAAGGCTGATGGTAGGAAACACCACTGCTGAGCTGGGCTCGCTCACAGCAATAGAAATGATAGGACTTTCCACCCAAAATAGAGGCTAGGGGGCAGCATATAATCATTAGAAACTCATTACCATAGGCCCAGTAGTGTGGGCTCCCACTTACCAAAGCTGATATAGGTTTCTGACACATGTCAAATGTCTAACCTGCTAGCAGCAAAAACAGAAGGCAAATCTCCAATATGGCACCATACCTTGAAGAGACCAACTAGCCTCTTAATGGCAAGTTGACGACACTGGATTCCTTCTGCTCCAAAAGGTGAAGCACTTTGTTTTGTCAGGAATAAATACATATTTCATGCATGGTTTTGCCTTTACTGCCCACTGAGACTCAACCATCACCATGGTCCAAGAGCTTACAGTGTCTGAACAACAGGCATGGGATCCCATCACATCAGACCAAGGACCCGGTCTTTAGCAAAGGAGGTGTAAAGTGAGCACATGACTAGGGGACCCACTGGTCACATTACATATCACATCACCCAGAAACCGCCAGCCTGATACAGTGATAGAATGGGCTGGTGAAGGCACAGCGAAAGCATAAACTTGAAAGTAACACCTACAGAAGACAGGGTGCCATCTTCCAGCATGCAATGTCCACTTTAAAATAGCAACCTTCATATAGTGCTGTGTGCCCAACAGATAGAACTCATGAGTCCAGAAACAAGGAAGGAAGCAGGAATGGCCTTCTTACCATTACTCCTGCGATCTACCTGGGGAATTTGCACTTCCTGCCCCTACAACTCTAGGCTCCACAGGTTTAGAGACCTTGATTCCCAAAGGGAAAATGTGTCCAACAGGAGACAGAGTGTAGCTGCCACCCAGGAACTTGGGGCTCCTTGTGTGAAGGAACCAGCAGGCAAAAAGAGGCATCACTATCTTGGCCATAGAGTGGATCCTGGTTACAAGAACAGAAGAGGCAGGGCAGCTGCTACACAAAGGAGATGTAGGCTGTCCTGATACCAGCTACAGTAGCTGTAATTCTTCTCACTAGCTTTCATTTTCTAAGCTTCCATCATGAAGGGAAACTCACCAGAATGTTGAAGGAGCTGCTCCTAGACCTTATATGAAGAAATGGATCCAAGTGGCACACGATCCAAGTGGACAGACTGTGATGGACAGTGTCATTGTTGACTGGTCTCCCTTCAGGAACGAAGGACTCATTCTCCCAGGTGTTAGGAGTGCTCTCAAGAGAAAGCCTTCAGCCATCAGCTATCAGCTCCCTACAGGTCTATGCTACCCCCTAGTTTCCCCAATGAAGCAAGCCCCCTCTCGCCATTTCAGTACAATTCTGAAGGGTCATGCCAGCTTCAGAGCTCCATAGGAAGATCTCTACTGAGACAGCATCAAAGCTCAACTTGTCCCTCTGCCCAATCCTGCTCCATTTCCCTTCCTTCCACAACTGTAGATTCCAAGAGCACTTCCTAAGAAATCTATTGTACGTTCATCTCTGTCTCAGAATCTAATTCCTGAAGAACAATGTCATCCACGTCAGGAGAAGAGGGGCTTCTGATCACCTACCCAGAAGGATAAGGGTGTGTGATATGTAGCAACGATGGTGCCACCAAAAGCAACTATATGAAACACTGTTAGAAAGGGAACTGGGCAAATGAGCAAGGAGGGAGTGAGCAAGAAAGATGTTGTGAAGGAGACGGGATGTGAGCAAAGGAAAGGACCTCCTGGGATAAGGTCTTGGAGAACAGATGGAATTCGGGCCCTAAGAGTCATCAATGTCCTCTTACATAGGAAGGACAGAGACTGAGAGCAGTAACAGTTAAGGAGAAATGGGCTATCTGAAGTCCCCTCCTTAATAACCATCTAAAGATATCCATCCTGCTGTCCATCAAGATGGACCTTGACCGTCCCCTTTGTGTCTCCCCATTCTCTAGTTAATCTAATGGTTTTATTAGTATCTATAAGACCCATATGGGGAAACTTAGACAACAAATTTGATTAAGACTTCTTAGACTGTTGCTTGATTTTGCGGCAAAAAGTTACATGGAGGGCCCATGCAGAAGTGGCCTGCTTAACCACAGTGTTTACCATGACCTGGGTAATAGGCATATTCAATGGGTGAGTATAAAGCCAGGGTCATCATAAAGCCAGTCCCACATGGCTTGCATATGAAGCAGATCACCTGCTTGATGTAGGGCATTCCACTTGGCATTTATAGGGATTGTTTATAGTCTCCCTTGTCAGGGTAAACAGACCTCACAGTGGCTTTTATCCAATCCAGCGGGATAGCCATTTCCTCAGGAATAATCCTCTGTGTATCTGGATCATGTATAGCCATCTGGATTGTTCCACAGAAAGCTATGGGTCCTGTAACAACCCAAACATGCTCTTCCATTCTGAAGCATATAAAAACAAAGATACTGCCCCTAAATTAGTCACACTCAGAGTCCATTTCAGGAAAGGTTCTTCAGAAAGTTGATGATACTAATCTACAAAATAAAACAACTCTCTCATATTATACCTCCTGATTTCAGTAGTTTCTTGGTTTTGTCTTCTTCCCATGTGGCCTATCTTCCTGTGACCAGAGTCTTAAAGGTACTCTGTTTTCCCCACATAATTTTTCCCTTTGGGGGTAGATCTGAGACTAGTGGCAAAAACTCAGACCAACAGAATCTGAGCTTGGTCCAGCATCAAGGTCTCACCCAGCACTCTCCCTTCCTTTCATTTTAGGTATTACAGGTAACAATAACCAAAAGATTATATAGTTTGCTTTTTTCGTATTAGTTTCCATTGCCTTAAGCATCCAATTAATCAATTCCCCAGAAGCTGGATCTACCTCTAAATTCCATTGGTAAATTTTACCTCTAGTAATTGATTATAGCACAGCTGCTGTTCCATACTTTGGGTGACTATATGGCCATGGCCACCCTGGAATCAAAGGTTCCTCATCCTCTCCTCCACTCTTTCATCCTCTTTTCCCAAACCACATGTTTCCATGAGCTAGGGCCTGGCTAGCAAATCCTACTTCTTTTTTTTTTTTTTTTTTTTTAAGCAAATCCTACTCCTGACACCACTTCTAGTGACACCACGCAATTCTCCAATTCTCCAAAACCAACTGGCTATACAACAACTCAATTAAATTCTGACACTACCTGGAGTTAACATCAGATCCCACACATTAAAGGACTCAGTCCCAAAAGATTGCCCAGCTTCAGATGCCAGTTGCAAGCTCCAGGTTGCCACCAGTGCTTCTGATCAACCAGTTACAAATTCTGGGGTTCCATGACACTCTCGTCAGGTTTGATATTTTGCTGGAACAGCTCACAGAACTCAGAAAACGCCTTACCTACATTTATCAGTTTATTATAAAAGGTACAAGTCAGGAATAGCCAAATGGAAAAAATGCACAGGACAAGGCATAAAGGGGAGTGATGTCATGGAGCTGCCATGTGCTCTCCAGGTGTGCCCCGTCCTAGCAACTCAGTACGTTCACCAACAGGGAACTCTCAAAGAGATAGAGAGCTCATTCTCCAGTCCTCCTCCCTTCCCTACAGGTTGAGGGTAGAGCTGAAATTTCTCACCCTCTAATCATTTTAAGTCACCAGCCCCATCCTGAGGCTATCTAGGGGGCCCACAGGAAGTCACCCCTCATTAGCATAAATTTAGGTGTGATTGAAAAGGACTTGTATAAATAACAAGGATATTTAAAAGATTTTAGGGGCTCTGTGCCAGGAACAAACAGGAACGGGAGACAAAGACCAAATATATTTCTTATTATACCACAGTTACTCTGAGATGATGAGGAAGAGTCACTTGAAAGAAATTCTCAAAGGAAAGAATTGACAGGACGTGGTAGTTCTGGGCCTTTTGGAGAAGAACGCTAGGAATTAAAGAGCTCACAGGTTTTAATTGCTGTTCTGCCACTTAACTTCCCCATGCTTCATTTTCTGCATCTGTAAAATGGAAGTAATAATAGTATCATACTTACTTCTTAGGATTGTTCCAATTGAAGATAGGATTATAAAGTGTCTGGATCCATGCGGGGAACATGTATAGAGCTCAATAAATGTTAGGTTTCACCATCGTGGATACACGGGGATGGAACACCCAAGTTCTAGTCCATGTTCCTGGCTCTCCTGGCTGCACGCTCTGTACCCCTCCTTAGTTCACCATCTCTGCACCAGTTTCCTCATCTGTAAAGTGAATGTGTGGGTGTCCCCACGAGGTCAGGGTCCCTTCCTCAGGAAAAGTCTGCATCAAATGTGACTCAAAGATTCTCAGTCAGGGGCGCCTGGGTGGCTCAGTTGGTTAAGCGACTGCCTTCGGCTCAGGTCATGATCCCGGAGTCCTGGGATCGAGTCCCACATCGGGCTCCCGGCTCAGCAGGGAGCCTGCTTCTCCCTCTGACCCTATCCCCTCTCATGCTGTTTCTCTCTCTCTCTCTCTCTCAAATAAATAAATAAATAAAATCTTTAAAAAAAAATCATTAAAAAAAAAAAAAGATTCTCAGTCAGGGTAACTCAAGGGTGCTGGTGCGAGTGGCAGAACATGGGAGACGAACGGGAGGCGCTCTCTGGCCAGAGGCAACACACTCGGCGACCTGCTTGGTCGTGCTCTCCCCCCGCCTCCCTTCCCGAGTGGGCGGCCAGGTGGAGAGCCAAGTAGGCCTGGCAGTTAGGAATTTAGTCCAAGTTTGGCGAGAGGAGGCGCCTAGGAGCCCCGGCGAGCCTTTCACCTGCCGCACCAGATCGGCTTCACAACAGGTGGGTGGGAGGCTGCAGCACCCTTCCGCCGTTCAGACCGCAGCGACCTTTCCTCCTCCCAGCGGCCCGCGCAGGCGCAGGCGGGGCGGGGGCGGGGCGGGGGCGGGGCGGGGGCGGGGCCCGGGCGCGCTCGGTTCTCTCCACCTCCCCGCCTCTGACAGGACTCCTGGCAGCCGCGGCCATCAGCTGCTGGGGAACAGAGGAAGAGGAAGGGGTGGAGTTGTCTTGCGGCTGGACGCGGAGCAGTCAGCCGGCTGCAGCCGGGCTAGTCAGCTGTTCCTGGCGCTGCCCGGCTCCTTGAGAGCTAGCGCCTAGACCGGCGGGACCCGGACAGGCGAAGAAGCCTGTCTAGGAACGCGGGCAATGCCCCGCCACGGAATATCTCCCGGCGAGGGCCACCCCAGGTCCAGCTGGGAGACGGAATCGGACCGGTCCCGGGGTTCCCCCAGACTGAGGCTTCTGTGGATAGGCCTGGCTGTGGCGCTGGCCCTGCCCGACTCCCTCGTCCTCTGGGCCCCAGCTGGGGCCCACCCTCTTCCCGCCCAAAGCCATCCTGCCAGGTTCGGTCGCTTAGTGCCCCAGCTCCGCAACGCCTTTGGGTGGTGGAATCTCACCTGCCCAGTCTGCAAAGGCTTGTTCACCGCCATCGACTTGGGGCTGAAGGTGAGCGCTTAAAGGGGCTGCGATGGAGCAGCCAAGGGGAGCGCTGGCGGGGGCAGGGGCAAGAACGGGGCTGGGCCTGGGGTCCTGAAGAGCAAACCTGTTGGGGAGGCTGGCATCTACAGGGCTTCACTGGGTTTTCTGTCCTTTAGGGACACCCATGACTACACGCCGCCGCCACCTCCACTGTGACCTTGTGAAGTAAGGAAAGAGTGCACTTTGTACGCCCGGCACTGTGCTAGCCATTTTGTACAGGCTAAATCAAACCTGTGAGGTGTTTCATTACAGTTGTTATCTTCATTTTACAAATGAATGGAGTCTGGGAGAGATGAAATCACTTGCCTAAGGACACACAGCTGGCGGCTAGGGGAAGGGCTGAGACTCCTTTCCTTGTACATCTGACATTGAATCCCCTGTGCCTTAAACTTGGCATCTCTAATCCAGAGCACCAGGCCTTGTACCAGTTACTCAAAAGGGACTTAAATTCAGAAACATCCAAGGGTGTGGGACTAGACCGGGATGCCTTGACCCTGATGGGATTATGATGAGTGCCAGTTGATAGGTGAGCTTTGCAGTGCTCTCCAGGACCTGCCCCAAACTATGGACAGCCATACTACCCAGCCCCAGTTTCAGGGCACTCTGCAGACAGTGCCTGAGGAAGCCAGCCGGGCGAGCAAAAGGCCTGAAATGCAACTGCCTGCTGAGGGGAAGAGGAAGTACTGGCCTGGTGCCACTGAGTCCAGGGCAGTATCTGTGGGAGGCAGGGAGTGCGTTGAGGTCTCTTCACTGTGGTGGCACTGAGTCCAACCTGGCCCCAGTTCGGAGATGAAGGTGCAAAGGGTGGTAGCCAGGGCTTGGCCTGGTCCCTGTGCTGTCTCTGACCTCTGATCACTGGTTCTTCCCACTACAGAAGGAGCCTGGTGTGGCCTGGGTGGGCTCCATGGCCACCAAGCTCTGCAAACTGCTGAAGATAGCACCACCCACTGTGTGCGAGTCCACCATCCAGCTCTTTGAAGATGACATGGTGGAAGTGTGGACACGCTCAGTGCTGAGCCCATCTGAGGCCTGTGGTCTGCTCCTGGGCTCCACCTGTGGGCACTGGGACATCTTCTCATCTTGGAACGTCTCTTTGCCAGCCGTACCAAAGCCTTCCCCACAACCACCCAAGCCCCCAGCCCCAGGCGCCCCTGTCAGTCGCATCCTCTTCCTCACTGACCTGCACTGGGATCATGGTTACCTGGAGGGCACAGACCCTGACTGTGAGAACCCACTGTGTTGCCGTCAGGATTCTGGCCTGCCACCTGCCTCCCGCCCAGGTGCTGGATACTGGGGCGAGTACAGCAAGTGTGACCTGCCCCTGCGGACCCTGGAGAGCCTGTTGAGCGGGCTGGGCCCTGCTGGCCCCTTTGATATGGTGTACTGGACAGGAGACATCCCCGCCCACAACGTCTGGCACCAGTCACGTCAGGACCAGCTTCGGGCCCTGACCACCATCACAGCCCTTGTGAAGAAGTTCTTGGGCCCAGTGCCTGTGTACCCTGCTGTGGGCAACCACGAAAGCACACCTGTCAATGGCTTCCCTCCCCCCTTCATAGAGGGCAATTACTCGTCCAGCTGGCTCTATGAGGCAATGGCCAAGGCATGGGAGTCCTGGCTGCCTGCTGAAGCCCTTCACACCCTCAGGTAGTTGAGGTCCAGGGAAACCCAGGAAGGGAAAATGTGGATGATAGTGAAGGGAACAGAGTACCTGGGCATTATCTATGACTGTTTTAGCATGAGTCAGCTCTTCTCACTGGCCCTCCTGATCTGACCCCAACTTCCACCTCCACCCTTATATCCAGACACCCTCCCTCACAGGGCTGACAGCATACCCTCTCCATGCTGGTCTGTGTCCTTGCTCATGTTGGTCCTCTCTAAAATGCACCCCCACTTTAACATCCCAACTTTCCTAGGCCCAGATCATATTCCTTGTGAAGGGCCTTTCCTTCCCACTCTAGCTTACTTTTCTCTCTCCCCTGAACTCCTAGAGCCCTTAGCCTCTGAGCCCCTTCACCTCAGTCACATGGGCCCTACAATCAGTCTGTTTTTTGGTCTCCAGCTGGACTGTGAGCTCCTTGGTGGATGTCCTGTGTGCCTCGCGAATGCTTCGCACAGGGCTGGGCGCACAGGACCTGGATTATGAATGAGTGTTGACCCTTCGTGTTCACTTTGTTTCAGAATTGGGGGGTTCTATGCCCTCTCCCCACATCCTGGCCTCCGTCTCATCTCTCTCAATATGAATTTTTGTTCCCGTGAGAACTTCTGGCTCTTGATCAACTCCACAGATCCTGCTGGACAGCTCCAGTGGCTAGTCGGGGAGCTTCAGGCTGCTGAGGATCGAGGAGACAAGGTGAGGGAAAGCAGTGAGAACATGGGGGAGTAGGTGCTGACAGGGGTTGGGGGAGAAGCAGACCCTTTGTGACCAGACTCCTATCTAGAGCCAGAGCACCTCTGAGCAGAGAAGCTTGGTTTTCGGACGCTCCCAACAACAGTGTTCCCTAGGAGTTTGGCTCCTGGTGCCCCTTAGAAGCCCTTTCATTCACTCCCCCTCTCTGGCCAGCAACGCTGGCCATTGTAGATGAATACTGACTCTTCCTGGCCAGGGCTGCCTGGACCCCTGCTTGCTTTGATAATTAATTAATTAATTAATTACTTTGAAGATCTAATTGGCTTTATTGAACAATTCATGAATCAGACAGCATCCCATCTAGCAAATAGAGGGGGCATTCTCCCTGATAACCTTCCTTAACTCTCCCTGCAGGTACATATAATTGGCCACATTCCCCCAGGGCACTGCCTGAAGAGCTGGAGCTGGAATTATTACCGAATTGTAGCCAGGTAGGGGGGAGGTGGGGAGAGGGGTGGAGGAAGAGTCTGAAGGTTGGAAATTCCTTTGAGCATCTTATCATTCCTGCTGCCCCACTGGGGTAGAGAGGCCACTTACTTCAATGTGTGGAGAAAGAAGCATCCCATCTCCCCAAATCTCCTCCCCCTCCCTAGAACCTTCTGAATATAATTAGTGTCTTCTGGCCAGGTATGAGAACACCTTGGCTGGTCAGTTCTTTGGCCACACCCACATGGATGAGTTTGAGGTCTTCTATGACGAGGAGACCCTGAGCCGACCGCTATCTGTGGCCTTCCTGGCACCCAGTGCCACCACCTACATCGGCCTTAATCCCGGTGAGTGGGGGGGGAGGGAGGGAGTTGTTGGGATAGAGGATGTTGGTGGGATGCAGGAAGCAGAAACAGACTCGGAGCCAGGGCTGGCAAGGGGCAGGTGGGACATGTGACCCCTCCCTGGGGCGGCCTCGGCTCCTTGACTCTCCAGTCAGCCCGCCCTCCTTGCAGGTTACCGGGTCTACCAAATAGATGGCAACTACCCGGGGAGCTCTCATGTGGTCCTGGATCATGAGACCTTCATCCTGAACCTGACAGAGGCTAATGAACCAGGAGCCACGCCACAATGGCAGCGTCTCTACAGGGCTCGAGAAACCTACGGGCTGCCCAGTGCGCTGCCTGCCGCCTGGCATGACTTAGTGTACCGCATGCGGGGTGACACGCAACTATTCCAGACCTTCTGGTTTCTCTACCATAAGGGCCACCCGCCCTCAGAGCCCTGTGGCATGCCCTGCCGCCTGACCACTCTGTGCGCCCAGCTCTCAGCTCGCTCTGACAGCCCTGCTCTATGTCGCCATCTGGTGCCGGATGGAAGCCTCCCTGATGTCCAGAGCCTGCAGCCAAGGCCACCTTTCTGCTAGCACCCCCAGGGCCCAGAGTTGGGAAGGTGGAATTTGTAGGAGAGGAGCAAACCCCCCAGATGACAGCTGTGGTAAGAAGAGCATCCGGGCCCCGAGCACACCAGGGAAACAGGACCTTCTTTCATGGAGCTGGTGTGGCTAAATACAGGAGGGGGCAGCTGCTCTGCCTGTGCCCAGCATCTAAGCTGCCCTGGGACTGCTGCCTTTCATGGCTGTGGAGCAAAGGCCTACGTTGGCACTGCCCCAGCGGACCCGACAGGAGCTGGGCTGGCCAGCCAGGAACCCTGCACTGCTGCTGTTGTCAGGTTGCCAGGCTGTTAAAATAAAGATAAAAGACTTGGATTCCAGACCCCTGTGACTGTCCCAGTTTCTTCTTTGAAAGCTGGGAGGGCAGGGCGCCTGAGTGGCTCCGTCGGTTAAGCCTCTGGACTCTTGGTTTCAGCTGGGGTCATGATCTCAGGGCCGTGGGACTGAGCCTCGAGTGGGGCTCTGCTCTCAGATCAGAGTCTGCTTGGAATTCCCTCTCTGCCCCTCCCCCTGTGCGCACGCCCTCTCTCACTCTCTCTCTCTCTCTAAAATAAATTAATAAAATTTTTTTTAAATAATAATAATAAAAAAAATAAAGTGGGGAGGGCAAGGTGGCTTTGGGACTATGATCCTAACTGAGGGATGAGGGTACTGCAGGTGATGGTGTAATGCAGGCACAGGAAGGCACACGGCTTAGCAGGGCAGACAGACTTTATTAGTGGTATCAGTACAGCAGAGGTGCCATGGAACAGGGGGGAAGGGACCCATGCCTGAACCAGTCCCCTCCTGCCCCTGCCGGACCCTACCAAGATGGGGCCTGGCCTACACCAGTTCCTCCTGCTCCACCTGAAATGTGGGGGTGGAGAGCCCGGGGCTGGCCTTGCTTCTTGCTCCCCTTATCAATCCAGTATTGTCACTTCCTTGCAGGGATTAGGTCTCTCTCTCCCCAGCCCCTAGGCAGGGAACCCCAGCTACTGGGGAGGGGCAACTTTGGGGGGGGGGCCTGAGGCCTAACAATAGCCTCTAGGGCCCCTCCCTGCCCCATACCCTTGAGTTCCCTGGGACCCAATGCAAGCAGGTGGAAGGAGGACTGAGGGCTTCAGGGGGTATGGGCCCCCAGGCGTTTGGGTTTGAGGGAACCCCACAGCGACTGAACGCCCCTGCGGACAGTCCACCCTACACGCCGGGCAACAGACTCAGCAGGGGGTGCTGGGAGGCAGGAGGTGGAGGCCTGGGAGCGTGCATCCAGACACTTCTGGTAGCGGAGCTGCAAAGAGGCAGGTGGAGCAGTCACTCTCCAGCCTGCCCCCTGTGAGGTGGGCGTCATCACTGCACCACCCTACCCGCTTACCATGCACGCAGCCTGCACGGCCTCTGAGAGGCTGGCGGCATTGGGCTCGCACCAGAACATGTGGCAGCAGAAGGAGGCTGGGCCGGCAGCCATGATGAATGCAAATGTGTGGACATCTCTGCCCACAGCCAGGAAGGAGAGGAAACGCACCCGACATTCCCCCAGCACTGCTTCCGTCTAGAGGGATGGAATCCAGTTAGAAAGGAACAGCCCAACCCTCTCTTCCACTGGGCACATCCACCTTACTGGCAGCTCTTCCTCAACCCCCCAGGCTCCCCTCCATGGCAAGGCTCAGCCAGGCCTTCTCCCACCGCAGTCTTTACCTGCTGATGCAAGATGGTAAGGGTAGCAGGGGCCACGCTGACGTGACTTGGGGTCCACTGCTCACGGCTACTGGAGGCCAGGACTGACTCCAGGGCCCCATTTATCACATCTACCCCTGGAAGATAAGGACACAAACATGACACCACTAGGGGTGGGGAGAGGATACCCCAGGGCCTTTGCTCCATCCCCACTTCACCAGTCAACAGCCCTAGATGATGCTGCACAGGTCTCCCTTCCTTGGTGCCCTCCTCCTTGGCTTCAGTGATTTAGCACTTTTCTGGTTTCTTCCATATTGAATCCTAGGCTTGGTTTTCTTCACTTGACTCTGCCTCTTCCTTCAGCCTCCAAAATGAACTGACTCCCTGAAGCTCTGACCCCCCCTTATCTTGGCTCTCAGTGTTCACCCACATTCAGACATCATACTGCATCATACCACAAGGACTCCCAAATCAGCCCCTATAAGCCCCTCCTCTCCCAAGACCCAACCTTTGTTTTATATCCACTTGAGGTGTGTTGACTTGTGTCCTGCCGTGCATGCCATCCATTACAGTGCACAACCCCACGTACACCTTACAACAATCTCTCAACTGATTCTTTTATCACCATTTTACAGATAAGGAAACTGAAGTTTACAGTTCCCCTGCTCCTTCTCTTTATTTCTAGTTTTCAGAACTTGAAGGACTGTCAAATCTTAGTTGGATTCAGTAATTTCAGTAATTTCTAGAATGTGCTAAAAGGACAAGTAATGCCAGGTTCCTAGCTTTTAGATCAATCAACATCCCCCTGTAACACAGTGGTTCCCTCCACCTCAGACTGCTATTAAACACTTCACTCTTGCTGGCACTCAGCAGAGAACCGGGGCAGAAGCAGGACATGGGGCATGGTGGGGGTATGGGCTCCGGTCCCTGCACTACTCATGAATGGGCTGTGCGATCTACTGAGTCTTTACCTTCGCAGAGAAGAGGTTAGAGGAAACCATGCCAACGTGGAAGCATGCAGCTTTGTGGCCCACTCCTGGGTCCTCTCGCCCCTTTCAGTGCCTCTGGGCTCCCACAGGAGCAGACCACATGGACCCTTTGTGGGCAGAGGACAAGGAAGAGGACAAATGTCTTCCTCGAAAGTCCTCTCTCTTCTTGGCCTTGCTCATCTTACCTCTGGCTGGATCAAGGCCAAATTCCTCTCCCAAGCATGCAAGTCCTCCAAAAACTGGCCTCATCTGAGCTGTCAAGCCTCATATTTTATAGCTCCCTGAGCTTCAAATGATTTATGTAGCATTTATTAACATTTAATCTTGGCAAATGCCCTGGTAGGCAGATGGGGAATACAAAGTAAGAGAAGAGGATGCCCTCAAGGGACACAGGCTGTAACTGTGGAAAAGCCTCTGTCTGGAGTGCCCTCTCCCTCTTGACTATGTGAGAACTCCCAATTCTCATCCTTCAGGGATCACCCAGGCCCCACCCAGGAACCCTTCCCTGCTGCAGGGCAGAGAGGGAATGTTGCTGGGACAACTCTTAGCACATCTCAAGGACAGAAGGCAAGTTTATTTCATCTGTGTCCCCAGTCCCAGCACAGGGCTTATCTACTTAAGGAATTCCAGATGCATGAGCAAGACACCCTCAAGGCAACATGGGCCAGTGCATCCAAACTGGTATAACCAAGTAAGCTAGGAGCCCATAGAAGGGTGAACACACAGGCAGTTCCTGAGTGGGTCAGGTCCGATTGCCAAGGGCTGTGGTGTGTTTGACATTTATGTCAGTCAGTGGAAAATCTCGAAGACCGTAAGTGTGGACAAGGTATCAAAGTCAAACAACTTAATAAGCTCTTAGGGCCATGGGGGTGGGGTTTGGCCTTGGAGCATGGGGAGGATCAGCATAGAGGTGGGTAAAGTAGTGGAGCAATGTGGCCTAGAAACAGTCTGCCGTATTTGGTGACAACTCAGGATTAAAACCTATACCCTGACCCCCAGCCCTGCACTCCCAAACCCCCTTATACTACTGTGCATTTTTTTTTCCACATCAATTGTTGCCTTCCAACATACTACATAATTTGGTTATTGTCTGTCTCTCCCGGCTAGAAGGTCAGCTACCTGAAGGCAAGAATCTGTCAGTTTTGTTCATTAATGTGTACCAAGAACCTAGAATAGTGCCTGGAACAATCAGGCATCCAATAGTCACTTGTTGAATAAATGAATGATTTACGAATATTGCAGCTTCAGGAGGAGCCAATGTTAAACTCCTGGAGGTTAAAAAGGGAGCATAAGACAAAGCAGGAAGTGAGTTTAGGGACTCAATAGAGCAGACCCATGGAAGTGACGGGCAGCAGAGGGGGCAATCAAGGATCGCAGACAGTTGCTTCATCACAGTGAGAACCTGTGTAAGGTGGTGGGTAGATAGGGGATTGGGGTAATAACTGGAAGAGGCAACAAGGGTTTGAAAGCTGAGGGCAAAAGGCAGAAAGAAATGAAAGCAAACGTGCAGAGGTCAGCCAACCTTCCTTCCTGCTCCCTGAGCATGATTTTCTCACCTCCAGCTCCATGTCTGTGGCACTGCCATTGAATCCAACTGGTATACCAACTCCCCTTTGCAAGTCCAGGCCTTCTTTCGAACCCCACCTCAATCCCCATCCTTTCTAAGAAGGGTTCCCTTATAGGATATAAGGTGCTGGTCATTAAAGTCAGCGTGGTTTGAGGGGAAGAGCAGAGAATTGAGGATGACCAGGTTTGAGTCCTACGCCTACCATCTCCTGGCCATGTCATTTGAGGCAAGTCTCATTCATTGTTTCATTTGTTTGTTCATTTATCCATCCACCAAACAGCTGAGTTCTTCCTAAGTATCTTTTGATATGACACCTGACCACTTCTTAAAGCACTCTCCTTTTTGCCTCCCTCCCCTCTCCTTCTGCTCCCACAATCTTTATCAATTTCATCCTCCTCTGTCCATTAAATGCTGGGGGATCTAAAAGCTAGGCCTACCCTCATTTCTCTTTTCACTGTGGGCTGCCACACTCATGGTTTTGATTACCTCTATAACCCAATAATGCCACATTTGAATCTGCAACCCAGACCTCTCCTCTGTGAATCCAACTGCCAACCTGAGTTTGTCACTCAGCTTCCCCGTCAAACTCGGCATGTCCGAAACTGAACTCCAATCTCCATACCAAAACTGGCCTCTTCCAATATCTGCTACCTTTAAAGAATGGCATCACCATCCGTTAATTCCCAAAACCAGGAAGTCAGGGGTCAGCCTGAATGCCTGTCCCTCATCCCACATCCAGTCAATCACCAAGACCTGTTGATTTTAATTATCTAAACACCTCTTGAATCTGCACGCTCTTCCTCAGTTCCACCATAGTCCATGATACTCTTCTTATCCCATAACTACCCAAGATCCCCCTAATTGATTCCTCACATCCACATCCACCTGCTAAACATCTTTTTCCATGGTACAGCCAAAGCCAACTTTTACAAAATTCAAATCTGATTATACCAAGTGCTTTCCTGAAAACTCAGCTATAGCTCCTTGCTGCTCTCAGGATGAAGAACAAATGGTTAATGTGGCCTCTGAGGTCCCATAAGGTCTGACTGCCACCCAGCTCCCAGCCTCATCTGGCTCCAGTGGCCTTCTCTCCATGCATTTGAAGTACCAAAG